CACAAGTATCAAGTACGAGGGATAAGCATACCAGGTTAAAACTTTGAGCAAAAACTATAAACATTTGGAAATGGAAAAGAACCTTCGCCAATCCAAAATCTGCAAGTTTAACCACTCCACTGGCGTGGACCAATATATTTGCACATTTTATGTCCCTTCATCGCATCAGATGAGAAAAGTTAGCGACCCAGTAAATCAGAGGCTCAGGTAATAGTTTGTGGAAAGGCAGTGGAGAAAAGTATCTACTAGTCTAACCTGTGGATAAAACCTTTATCATGGAGATATTTCAAACCATCAAGAATATGTCTTGTGTACATGGAGACTTGGGAGTCCCGAAGCTGGTATCTTTGGTAGAGTTTTAGAAGGGACCCTTGGGTTACAAGCTCAAGAAAAATATACAAATTTGATCCGTCCTGCAAACAGCAAAACACATTATATTTTACAAGTTATTGATAGTGCAAAAAAGCTTAGGCAGCTGCAACTGAGAACAGGGATGGCAGAATGGGATTATACCTTGGCTGTGCCACGATATCGAACGATATTCGGATGCTGAAGCTGACTAAGTAGTGCAATCTCCTGTAAAAAATGAAAAATGTAGCAAAAGGTAAAAAGGATTAGCAAAATACTTCTGACAGACAATAGATGCATTGCGCAATGGAAGTGACGGTCATGGACCAGGTGTATCTTACTCCTTCGAGTTGTTGTATGCATTCTTGTGCCTGACTTCCCTGATCAAGTAGTGAAACTTCCTTGACAGCAAAGAAGTCCCCATCTCTACATTTAGCATAAACATTTATCAAAACCGGTACCAGGGACATGCATTATTGAAAACTGGCTTTGTACCATCTTTGTCAATTCGCTACCTTAGCATCCCTCATTCAAAATATAATCGTACTCAATCGGAACATTGTTCTTTTCTTCCCAATTACAGTATATTTACTTAAAAACCAACCTGCAACTAAGTATCGGATTTCAAGCTCAACAGACATTGGCAACCAGTAAGACTTACCCTGAAATGCCTTCATACACAGAGCCAAATGATCCTCGTCCCAAAAGTTCACCCTTCTGCCAAGACGTGATGATAGATCCAGGCGAATATATCGGCGACATATTGGATAGTGTGCTTGACGAGCCACCCTCGTTTGTAGTGAATGAGTATGCCTCATCCAT